ATTTTGAAAATTTCAAACTTATTTTCTTATTTTTAAAATAGATTAAACTTATTTTCTTGAATATGTAATCTTTAAATCTTCCCTTCTATTATTTACCTTTTCTAAGTCAAGGTGTTTTGATTCTTTTCGTTTCTTCTATTTCGGTGGTTTTGGAGAGTAGTTTATGCAATGGGCCAAACCGGTAAATATTACTTGATTACTGGTGCAAATAATTTTTTCTTAAATCGGATTTTTAATATATTTTAATAAAAATTGATAAAAGATACGATTGAAAAATTGATGAATATTTTGGGTTTCGTGAAATATGTTAGGGTGGAAATTGTCTAGAACATATTTTTTAGGGAATTGTTAATTAAGTGTGTTTGATTGGTATAATCTTCCACCCGAAAATTTTTAGAATTTTGGATCTTTTCCTGTTCGTTTGACTTTGTTTTACATGAAAATTATCCATTAAAGTGATTGTTTTTTTTACAATTGGTTATAAAATTTGTTTCCATTACCAAAAAGTAAAAACAAAAAACAAAAAATAAATTCATAGAAAATCATTTTTTAATCAAAGTTTAGTATTCATTTAACTTTGTTTTACATGAAAATTGACCATTAAAGTGATTTTTTTTTTTAACAACTGGTTATAAAATTTGGTGTCATTAAAAAAAAAAAAAACTGGAAAATGAATTCCCACCAAATTGGTGGGAACCCAAATTCCACAAAATCATTGAATTGGTGTGCGTGTGGACAAAAACAAGAAAATCCAGCCAATCAAACACTCATTTTTTGACAAAGATGGAATTCCATTTCCAATTCCATGGAAAGTTGGACAAATCAAACAGACCCTAATTTTTTTCATGGGTAATTAGCACATAACATTCATAAATTTTACTGTTATTGTGGAAAACGTAACCTTTCAATTTTTGGCATTCTCACATTTTATTGCCAAAATGTCATTTTTATCTATTTTCTCAATTAAAAATTGTGAAATAATGAATATATCCTTCTCTTTATATAAAACTAATTACAATCATAATCCCAAATTTAAAAATAATAATAATAATAAATAAGTCCCAAATAAATTATTTAAAAAGTAATTAATACATAATGTTCCCACCTTTCACTATTATAGCAGAAAACATCAATACCTTTCATTTTTTTTTTTTTTATTTTCACATCTAATTACACATTTGATTACGCAAAACATCATTTATATTTATTTTCATCCAATTTCTCGATAAAGAACTGTAAAATGATGAATATATCCTCGTATTAATTTTTTTTAATAAAATTAAATTTTTTATTTCTAATTTTTAATAATTATCCGGGATTCGTTTGCACTTTTTTTTTAAAAAAAACTAATTTCTAATTTTCTAATAATTTATTTGGGAGTCATTTGCACTTATTTTTTAAAAAAATTAATTTTTAATTTTTTAATAATTCATTTGAAACTCATTTCTATTTGTTAAAAAATTTGGGATTATGGTTGCAATTAATTCTTAGCTTTTATTTAAATAAGATTATATATTCATCATTTCACAGTTTTTTATTGAGAAATTGGTTGAAAATGGATAGAAATGATGGTTTGTGCAATCAAATGTGTAATTAAGGATAGAAATGTCAAAAAAGAAAGGTAAAATCGTTTTTCGCAATAATAGTAAAAGACGTGGACTTTATGTGCAAATTACCCTTTGAACAATTTATTTGTGACTCATTTGGTCCTTTTTTTTTAAAAAAAAAAAGGAACTATAATTGTAATTAGTTTTTTCACTTTATTTTTGTTATATTTAAAGAGAATGATATATTCGTCATTTCATAATTTTTAATTGAGAAAATTGATGGAAACAGTTTGATACAGATTCTCATTTTCTACGGTAAATCAATTCTCATTTTCAACCACACATTCTTCAATTAAATAATATTTTCCATCACATCAATACTTTTTTCTTCTGTTTCAACCACACATTTCCCATCATATCACTATTCAAAAATCAATTATTCCCCCAAAAATCGCTACCAAACACACTCTATATCCTCAATTGTAACAAATTATATCTCTTTAATGGACAATTTTCATGAAAAATAAAGTCAAATGAATACCAAAAGATCCCAAATTTCAGTATCTTCTAGGTGGAAAATTATATCAATCAAACACAATTAATTGACAATTCCCAATAAAACAAGTTTTAGACAATTCAATTTACTATAATTCATTTTATTTCCACCCAAATTTCATTCTTCCAATTAAACGGACCCTAAAATCATTTGGAACCAAAACCGTACTGTCATATTTACAAATTGGGTAGCTAGCTATGATAGATCGTAATCTTATTTAGCATACTGCTAATCAACTAGCGAAGGGGGGCAGGTGCACAATAAATTAGACTGGTTTTGAGGATGATTTATATAACTTTTGTTTGAACTTCATTACTTGACAAAAAAATGCATTTTTGAATAGTGATTGATGGAGAATGTATGATTGAAAAATAGAATTTTTTTAAATTTATGTTTAATATTATTTTATTGAAAAATGTGTAATTGAAAAGAATAGAGAGAAAAATATATTTTGTAAAGAATGTAGATCAAACAAGGTCATGGTCGACTTGTGTTTTAAATTTACTTTTAAATTTAATTAATATATTTTCTATAAAAATTTACTTGTTAATTTAAATTTTTTTTCCCACTGTTCAAAAATATTAATTTGATATTTTAATACATTTAGAGTGAAGTTAGAAATAGGTATTTGAACTCCATTATTTGACAATGAATGCATTTTTGAATAGTGATTGATGAAAAACGTGTCGTTGAAAAATAAGAAAAAAATTGGTTTACACGTAATATTATTTTATTGAAAATTGTATGATTGCAAAAAAGATAAAGAAAAATGTATTCTGAAAATAATGGGGATCAAACGAGGCATATAGTTGACTTGTGTTTTAAATTTACTTTTAATTAATGTATTTTGTTTAAAAAGTTACTTGTTAATTTAAATTTTCTTTTTCCCACTGTTTGAAAATATTAATTTGAGATTTTAATGCATTTAGAGTGGAGTTAGAAATAGGTATTTAAGTTATTTTTCAACAAACTAACTTAGCTTTTCACAATCATTATTTAAAAATTCTTTAAATTATCATATTAATTTTTAACCACACAGGAACATAATAAAATAAAAGAAAAAAAAAAATTCTCTCTTCAAAAATTATTATTCTAAACTTCATTTTTTTTAAATAACGACGATCAAACGGCATAAAATAGTGCCCAAAAACATAAAATCTCCCATAATCCTATCTTCAGTTGGCCTTGTCATTCAGTTATCAGCCCTCACACAGTTGTCTCTGTTGTTTTTCAATTTTTCATCTAGAATTATTTTCCGTTTGAACCCAAAAATCTTTCGCACGTTGTATGTAAACCTGTATCTAGAGCTAAAATAGCTTTAAAAGGCCGCGGTCAATTTTAGTCAGTAGTGATAATGCTGAAAGCTATACAGATTCTTGGTTCATCTTCATTTGGGTTCGTTTCCCTTCCTTGCAGATTTAAGAGGAAGCCGCAAGCAAATTGTGACCTCTATTTCTTATCAAGAAAACCCATAAAAGCATCAAATTTATCGTCATTAAGATCAAAAGCATCTTCTTTTGCTTTTCGGATTCGCTCCCACATTCATTCCGATTCAAACCCGTATGGTGCTTCATCTTCTTCCTCTACATCCACACCAGTTCAATCAACTGTGAGAATTTTTTTCTTCGTAATTTTCTTTGTGTTAATTATTGGGTTTTGGTTTGATTTATTGATTTTCCAATAGTGCAATCCTGTTTTGGATGGATAATGTTCAATTTGTGGTTTGTGGGCTATGTAGTCAAGCGGGTAATATCGTTCCTCGATATTGCATGATTAGATTCTTGGTTCTCTGTTGTTTGTATGAATTCCCAAGACTGATACTATAGGAATTTCTCTAGTTTCTTCAATATAATGCTTTGAATTCTCATTTTTCTCTTCATGTTAGTTTCGGAGCTAGTTTCTGCATCAATCTGCAGCAAGGAATTCTTGAATTTTCTATTTGTGAGTTTTTCTCACATCTTGCAATATTATCTTGGATTGGTTCAAATTAAGCCCTAGAGAATAATGCTATCTATCATCAGCAATGATCATCATAGTCCAATTGACAGCGGAACCCTGCTTCTTTGTCAAATGCATTAAATTGCATGACAACTTCATTGGCTTGTTATCTTTAAACCAAGAAATATTTTTTAGATGCGATAAATCTTAGAGGAATATCTAGGACCACGGAACGCATCTTGTTAAGCCCCTGTTTGAGAACCATACTTTTGGAAAAAAAAGGTTTTGAATAGTGATTTTTAGGTGAACGTGTAGTTAAAAAATAGGGAAATTTTTTGGATTTATGTTCAGAATATGTTATTGTATAAATATGTGGTTGAAAATGAGAATATAGAAAAAAGAGTTTGAAAAGTATGGTTGTCAAAAAGGGGCTAATATTGACAAACAATGCAGCCACGACTGGCAGGAGAAGGAAGACACATGGAGTCAGGTTCCAACATGGATTGAGATTATTTGTTTCGGCATTAACTTGAGCGTGTTCCTTCAGGTGAAAGGCCAACCCGTAGGGTCCTTGAATTACAAATTTTGCATCATCCCACTAGTTTTGACTACAGTAAATTGCATTACCATTAGACCATCTTTGTACCATTTGTGTGGTATTTCTTTTGAGATTGTAGAAAGCCATACTAGACACCTGCATTACATATGAAGATAAGTTTGAGCTGAAAAACATTCCAGTTGCTTTCACTTAGAAGAGTCCATGTTTTCTGACCTTTGAAAAATATTGTCATTTCAAATGACCTCCCTCTTATCTCTAAAAGAAAAGATGGTTAAAACATAAATAAGGATGTTCACGTTATGAACTGAGTGGATCTATTGTTTCTATAAGCAACTGCTCGCCAACGTTTTTCTTAATATCGAGCATGTTGTAAGCCTTGTAATTGGCTGGATCTCTTACTCATAGTAAATAAACGTTTCTTTGAGCTGGCCGTTGTTGTGTCTTTTAATGTGCATTTTATAGTTGGTGGCATTAGCAGAAACATAGGTTATTATCGATTGACACTGATATTGATCGAAACCATGTAACGTTAAACAGTGCTGACTGCATGGTAAATTGTTACCAGTGTGATCCTTCTCTTATTTTATTTTTGTTTCACCTTTTCCTCCTGGCTTTTATGAAACTTTGGGTAACAAACAATGTACGGTGTGGGTTGTCTTCCACCCTTTATCATTCATTTACACTCTTTCCTTTCTCCTTTAATTCGTATTAGTGTCTAACTATCTGCAGGGTATTCGTAAGATCAATTTCTGCCAGTCGTGTGGTGGCCGAACAAAGCATGAGATACCTGATGGGGAGGAGAAGATGAGGGCTATTTGCACATCATGTGGGAAAATTATTTATGAGAACCCGAAAATGGTATGATTTCCTAATGATAAAAAGGATTCCAATAAAAAAAAAAATTGCTTTTACAACTACGAAATGGAAATTTCTAAATCTCGCGCTTCTACTTAAATTGCGGTTCAAATTCAATTGGAGAATTACATGCATATTGTTATGAGTCAATTTATTTGTCATGTTGTGTTGCCATAGTTGCTAACTCCATAAATTTTCAACTTTTGTAAAATTGCTTTGCATTCATCATGATGATTCCATGGCCAAGGCATGCCTGGAGTACAACAAACAGCATACCAAAGAAAAAAAGTCTGTTTAGACAGCTCACAAGAAATAATGAACACGTGTTCTCCTTTTTCTCTCCTTTTTTGAAGAACTGTGACCCAACTAGTGCTAACGTGTAGTGGCTGATTTAGATGAATTTATCTGCTTCATAATTTTATGTGGTCAAGTGGACATAAATTATGCAGTACTAAAAAACTGAGGAAAAAAATAGACCCAACTAGTCTATATTCAAAAATCCATTTGAATAGCATCCAACAAAAGGGAAATATAACATGACTAAAATAACAATCCTACAATTATTTCTAGTAGATTTCCAAATTCCTAAAATGTATCCTACTGGCATGATAGCAGTTTCATGATTTGATTGTAGATAACTACAAAGAAAATAAAATTTTAACTCATTCTTAATGACTGGAACTTAAACTTCAAAGAATCATTTGAGTAAGATAATGAAATTCTTATTCTGATTTTAACAGATTACGGAAATGGTTTGTTAAATTTAAGTTAGAATGATAATAATTAGGTAAGTGTACTATATTTGTTCAAAAACATAAAAAAGTGCTGTTTTCTCCGGATTACAGGTTATAATACTGTCCTTTATTCATATTAGCTTCATAATTGAAGAGCAGAGCTTTTTAACTTGACATTGATGATTCTAGTTGTTGTTACAATGTTGACGAACAGGTTGTGGGTTGCCTCATCGAGCATGAAAACAAGATACTACTGTGCAAGCGGAAGATTCATCCATCATTTGGCCTTTGGTATGCATTTGCCTGATCCAATTTCACCTGGAAAGGGATAATTTTTTCATGCTATTAATCCATAGTAATAAATTTAGCCTGTGTTTGGCTCATATTTATAAATACTTAACCCACTTAATATCCACACATTTCGAGGGACCAGCAAGTACTATCCTCTTATTAACCGCACATTTCTATCTATTTATAATTTTTAAACTGTTTATAAACACTTCACAAACATGCTTTTAGTTTCTTCATAACATTGCGAATTGCTGAATTGTATGTATTTTTGCATTTAACATTGATATTGGTAATTTGTTCTCCACTTGGCTATTATGTAGGACACTTCCTGCTGGTTACATGGAGATTGGGGAGTCTGCTGCTGAAGGAGCAATTAGGGAAACCTGGGAGGAGGCAAATGCAGAAGTGGAAGTTTTATCACCATTTGCTCATTTGGACATCCCTCTTATAGGCCAAGTATGAGAAATATCCTAACACTAATTTTACATGGATTTCCCTGCTCTTGGCATCTTCATGTACTCCATTGTCTCATGTGGATCAGACATATATTATTTTCTTGGCCAAGTTGAAGAGACCCCACTTTTCACCGGGCCCAGAATCTTCAGATTGCCAGCTTTTTGCTCTTAATGATATTCCTTTTGATTCTTTGGCATTTTCGTCAATGCTGGTCACCTTACAACTGGTAGGGTTCTATTTCAAATGCCAAGACAATTATATCAGTTCATTTAATGAATTTTTGCTTACTTCTGTCATGATGTCTTCTTTGTTTCTATAGTACATTGAAGATACAAAAGTTGGAAGACCCATGTTTCACTATGGCATCATCAATAAAAGGTAATTTCAATAAACTGATGTTCCTCAGTGAATTTATGAATGAACTTAGGTGAGTTTCCTTTGAGAGAGAGTTGAGCATTCAGATCTCTTAGGCACACTTCTCGGAAAACTTATTTTCAAATTTGACTGTCTGAGAGAAGGTTTTGATAGCAATTTTTTAGTAGGAAATGATTAAACAATACATGCCGTAATGAAGTCTTTCAATATGGAGAAATACTTGTGGAAGAATATTCGATGATTCAATTCCTTGAAACATTTTAAATTTATGAAGCTACTGCCAGTTAAACTATATATTTGACACTGCCACGTTATGTGCACAATTATGTAAACTATTTTGGTGACCTTTTCTTGTTGCTCTGCGATTTTACTTCATAAGAATTTGTTACAGGATGGCTCCTTTAGAATTTTCATGGGGTTTAATCTATGGCAAAGCATTGTATGTACAATTTCTTAGTCAATTGTAGTGCTCCCTCACCATGTTTTGGCATTTCCTTCTCCTCCTGAGAGTTCATCAAACATATGAAAGGAAACTAAAAATCTCAGCAACAGTGGAAAAATTGGGAAGCTGAATTTTTTTTTTTAAACCACTCGCAATAGAAAGAAACGGCACCACCAGAAGAAACAAGTACCTAAAATTCTGCTCAAGCAAACTGATGAGTGCCATACCTAACTGATCTTATGTCCCTATTACTGACCTAAACACCCATATCCACCTGAACATTAGAAGAAATTTCGGGTAAACTACAGCCACTTCCGGGATGTGCAGCACTTCAGAAGTCGAAACTAAGGATCCGTTTGATAGCAAATGTGGAAAGGAATTCTAATTCCGTGTTAGTTGGAAAATAAAAACCCACAAAACCCATATGAATTCGTTTTCCATGAAAATAAAGAAAATACAGTTTAAAGTGGTTGTACATTGGAATTCGGTTTCCATTTCCACATGCAATCAAACGGTCAAAGTGAAATTCGTTTTCCACGGATGCGACATTTTTCATAGAATTCGTTGCAATCAAACAGAGCCTAAGTGCTTCTCTAAGTGGAAATCAATACCATCATCTTTCAAGCACATCAAATGTACATGCATAGTAGTCGGACTGCCTGAGAACTGAAGTGGTGGTGATGGGCTGTTGGAAAGGTTCCCCACTGCCTATTGGTGTTCCACGGCAATTGTGTTAGTGGTTGTTCCAATGGCCATGGCTGGAGGTGGCATGAGGGTAGTAGATAAGGGGAGAGAGAAAGTTGCGGTGAGCAGGTGTAATTTGGATAGGGTTTGGAGCCTGGGCTGCAGCGGCTTGAGATAGTTTTGGTATGTGAACTACTTTTCTAACTAGTAACGAGGAACATTTTGCAAACAAAGGGTTAAGAAGTGTTCATTTTAGGAAATTTGGCCATTTTTGTGGATGAGCCCAAAACAGAGATAATCCTTCATTTGGTAATGGAGAGACATTTTATGGTGCCACTTCAACAATAGGTCAATGAGTATCTGGTTTCTGAAAATATTATAATAGTATGTAGATTAATAAAATTTTATATCGGGGTAAACATGTATTTTCCCTCAAACGATCCCCTTTGGCACTAACTATTACTTTTTCCGATTTTATCTCGATTTTGAGATAAATACTTTTTAAGTCGCATTCTATAACCCTTTTTATTTCAAAAACAAAATGGAAATGTAAATAAGATTGATCAAGAACATCTACATTGTCTGATCATTTTCTACACAGACAGTGCAAGATCTGCTCAGCTACATTAAAGAAACTTGTTACTCACCATTATTGGGTTTGGAAGCAGGTAATTGTTTTCATGTCATTTCACGATAACCACCAATATGCGATTTACCCTTTGGCACTTTATTTTTGGTAAGATGAGAGATGGAAGCAAATATTGTTAGTTCAGGGGTGTAGGACAGGTCTTTCTTTACAAGTATTGTTAAATTGGTTTGTGAAGCTACTCCATTAGTCCTGCAATTGAAAATATTGTCCTGCATTATCATGTTTGATTTTGCTAGATCTGTCATGTTGTGGATAACAATTATTAAACTGCACTGTTATTGAGATCAACTGAAGTTTCTCTAGTATTTTGTTCAGAATTCGTACAACTTCTTATACTGACCTGTAAAGAAGGTAAATCATATTCTTCATGGCATGTTAGGTAAGGTATATTATAGCACTAGACAGTATTGAAGAAGAAAAATAAGCTAAAAAATTGACATGTCGCTGTTCATATTCCTGGTGGTTTTCAACAGGCCCGGTACAAGCCCTTCTGAGATTCATGCCTATACTCTCGATCATCATCTGAAATCTTGACATTTGGAGGATGATTCTGTCCAGTTCTTAAAGGAAATGTTACAGAATTTAGAGTGAGTTTAGCATAGTACCAAGATGTCCTTACTTTTTACCAGCCGTACAAGTTTGCTCCTGTTATGCAACCTGATGATGCCATCAAAATGCGTTTCACTTCTTTTTTCTTTGTGTAACTTTTCTGATTATACTTCTACTGTAATTTCATTCTTTTGGTAATGAAAGAGAATCTGCGCTCTTTGTGCTTCAAAGTACGACTCCCTTGTATGTGTATTATTTTGTAATGCTGAAGATCAATGGCTCTGATGATTCTTGACCCCCTTCAATCCCGGAAAATTGGGCAGAAACCTTTATAGAAGCTATGGAGATGTGCGTACATCACACTTAGTTTGCTTGGTATAAAAATGTCAGATAGCAGCGGGATAGTATAAAAGAAGAAAGAAAAAGCTATAATCTTGTTCAATATAGTTGTGTCTAGAGAGATTATATTTCTTCCCTCTTCACGACCGATGTACATGCGGTCCATTTTTCAAGTGGGTGACTTCACAAAACGTGTTTTCTACTTCTCTAGATCTCCTCGTTCGCAATGAAGATCCCTTAAAAATGGTGCTTGCTCCAATACCAGTTAACAACTACTGCAGGATATAATTTACTTATAAAGCCAGACTTGTAAGAATGAATTACTCAATATACGTTTAAATCAGATCTACAAGACAAAGTGACGGACAAACTTTTGAGAGAGTCGAATACAATACAAGTCATTAAACTCGCAAGGAGCACCAAAGAGAGGTGCATTATTTTTAGAGAGCAAACCAGAAGATTAATTATAAAGTGTAAAATGCACATTCCTGTAAATAGAAGCTGTTAAGCTGTTAATAGATAAGCATTTTCCTATTGAGTGATGATATGGGTACACAATTTTTATCCATATGAGTTCACATAAAACTCACATGGGGTATTCCTTCCTACTTCGTCCAACAGGGCCCATGTAGTGCTATTCACTTTTGGCAGCTAATGAAGTCCGAACCCGGATCGGTCCGGGTGGCCCAACTTCTAAATTATAGTGTCTTTGTCGTTCACACGTTTGCAAAGTAATCATAGTATCATACTGTTCTTGCTTATAACTTTGAGAAAATTGCAATGCTAGTCCCTAACCTTTAACGGTAGAATTTTATCCTCTAAATTTGTATCCACAGTTTCAATTTCGTTGTACAAGTGGTTCTTGTAGACGCTTTATATGTTGTATTTGAACTTTTAGCAAAATTTCAATTGGATCATTAAATTTTAATTCAATTTAGTTTCAATTGGATTGCTGAACTTCAATTGAATTTCAAAATTTACTACTATGTCACCTATTGTCTTCCAAATTGATGAAAATTATTTAGGCCCTATTTGATAGCCTAGAAAATGGGTG